GGGGCGCACGGGCATGAATCATGGACGTGCGGGCGATGTCCATGACCAAGCCAATGCGGCGCTCAGCAACCCCATTCTGCTGTGGGGTCTCTGGCAGCGTCCAGGACTATACAATGCCCTGCTCGCCGCAGAATCCGGCAAGAATGCCTGAGCGAAACTCACCCCCACTGTCACAGTGGAGACAGGAGACACGACGGCCACGAGTGCCCTCAGTGGCTAGAAGCCACCGGATCATCTTAGAAGTCACCTCGGACTTCTTCGCGAGAGGAAACACCGTGGTGTACCTGGAGAAGTCGTCGACGACCACCAAAAAGTAGCGCTCCCTCTCAGGTCCCTGCGTAGGTGCAGGGCCCCAGACATCCAAGTGGAGTGTCTGGAAGGGAGAAGTGGCCGGACGAAGGGAGGAGGAGTGCGGAGTGGCACGAAGACGGCCGGCGACGCAAGGAGTGCACGGCGGCGCAGGCGAGGGAGGGAGCGACGGGAAGACGCGAGGGAGACCTGAGACAAGACGGTGACTAGCCATAGTGCGGAGGCGGGGGATCGACGCGTGGCCAAGACGGTGGTGCCACAAGACGGTCCGGTGGGTGAAAGACCGGCACGAGCAAGACGCAGCAACTAGACCGGACACAGCAACCTGACCGGACACAGCAACCTGACCGGACACAGCAACCGGTGGGGACGCAGTAACCTGACCGGACTCTGCTACCGGGGGGGACGAAGCAACCTGACCAGACGCAGCTACCTGCGGGGGCGGAGTGTGCAGGACGAAGAGACCTGAGTGGGGCTCTCTGGTGAACATGGCAAGAACTGCCCCGGTGGAAGAGTCCGTACAGATCGCAGTCATCCCGTGCGCAGGAAAAGTGACTGTGATCCCCCGGTCCTGAAGGTATCCAACACCCACCAAGTTCCGAGAGAACGAGGGGATGTAGAGACCAGTGAGGAAACCAGAGGGGACAGCTGGGCACGGGAGAGTGGTCGAGCTGCGAACAACTGCTGGTCCTGAAGTAGGATCAGCCAGGGCAACTGGGACTGGAGCCGAAAGAGGTGTGACAGTGGTGTGGTCGCAAAAGAAGCACTGGGACGCGCCGGAGTCCAGCGTGAAGGAGAGCAACGCAACAGCAGTCGTCACGGCTGGGTTAGTGAATACACAAGCACCTACACTAAAAGCGCAAGTACCTACACTAGCAACAGGCAAAGCTCCTAAGCTAGGTACACGCAAGCCAAGAGATCCGTACGTGACAGAATAAACAGCATCCATAGACATATCAAGCACAGGGTAACCACTACGAAACAAACCGGGCCAGATCGGGGGAGCCGACTCAGGCCCAAAACGCTCACGGTATAGGTCGTCGAGGCGACTGTAGCAGCGCGGTGCAGAGTGGTCAGGCCGCCAGCAGGTAGTGCCAGCACCAGGGCCGGTCAGGATCCGGTACTGGCAGGGGCCGACGTCGCGGCCACCGCGACGAGCCCCCAAGCCGGCTGGGCCGCTGCTGCAGCCAACGCTACCCGAACCGCCAGGCCGCCACGGCTGATGAGGGCGCCACAACTGCTGAGGGCAGAGCTGCTGCTGAGGGCGCCACTGCTGCTGCGGGTGCCACTGCTGAAACTGCCGCTGCTGCTGTCCCTGCTGCTGGAGAACCCTAGTGGACGCCATGATAAAGGCTAGGAGCGGCAGGAGCTAGGGACGGCCACGAGAACAACTAGGAGCGCGAGGTGAAACTAGGCGAGGAACGGCTGGAGCACGGAGCACACTGAGCTAGGAGCGCCAAGTGAAACTAGGCGAGGAACGACCGGTGCTGGAACGGCTAGAGCTGAAACGGCTGGAGCTAGAACGGCTGGAGCGAGAACGGCTGGAGCGAGAACGGCTGGAGCTAGGCACGGCTGGAGCTAGGAGTGGCTGGAGCTAGAACGGCTGGAGTGAGAACGGCTGGAGCTAGAGACTGTAAGTGCGGCTGTCGGCCGCCGCTAGTGGAGCCAATGGAAGTGGAAAGTACGTGCGACAAAGGGGCTGCAGTACTGACGGCTGCGGGAGGTAGGGAACTGTGCAGGTCGTCCGGCAAGCAGGAACGCGGGCGACAGTTGCAGCCCCCCACCCTGAACCCCCTTTTTTTTTTTTGTAGGGTTTAATTAATTAATTTTTATTTCTGGCGCTAAAGCGCTGCGGGGCGCGCTGCCTGCAGGGTGTGCTGCCTGCAGGGCGCGCTACCCGCGGGGCGCGCTGCCTGCGGAGCGCGCTACCCGCGGGGCGCGCTACCCGCGCGGCGCGCTGCCTGCGGGGCGCGCTACCCGCGGGGCGCGCTCCCTGCGGGGCACGATTTCTGCGGGGGGCGCGCTACCTGCGGGGCGGGGCGACGCGGCGGGCTAGGTGCAGGGCGCTCGGGCGCGCACGGGCTAGGGGCAGTGCGCACGGGCGACGTTACGGGCTGGGGCAGGGTGCATGGGCGACGGGACGGGCTGGGGCAGGGCGCACGGGCTACGCGACGGGCTAGGGCAGGGCGCACGGGCTACGCGACGGGTTAGGGCAGGGCGCACGGGCGACGCGACGGGCTGGGGCAGGGGCCACGGGTTACGCGACGGGCTGGGGCGGAGGCGCGATACGGAGGGCGTGGAGGGCGCGTAGTGGAGGGCTAGGCGCGGAGGCGCGGATGGCGCGTTACGGAGGGCGCGGAGGGCGCGTTACGGAGGGCGCGCATGGCGCGGAGGGCGCGGAGGCCGCGTTACTCGAGGCTAGGGCGCGGAGGCCGCGTTACTCAAGGCTAGGGCGCGGAGGGCGCTAGGGCGCGTGGAGGAGGGCGCGTAAGGCACGGAGGCGCTCTAGAGCGCGGAGGGCGCAAGGGCGCGGAGGGTGCTAGGGCACGTGACGGAGGGCGCGTAAGGCGCGGAGACGCTCTAGGGCGTGGAGGGCGCGAGGTAGGCTAGGCTAGGCAAGGATTCTAAACCTACTCGTGATACCATCTCAGAAAGTGAATGCAACGGAAATGTTTGACTTAGGAGAGCAAGGCATACAAATAGAAACCCTAAGAGTGTTGTACTCCTTAGAGTGCTACTCACTGCAGCCTACAACCAATAACAACATTTGACAACAACACCCAACCTGGCCGTCGCCGCCAAAAATAGCACCGACTCTTACCGCACGTGGTACATGGACAACCGCTGTGGACAGCACATGGTGGGGTTGCGCCGCTTCATCTCAAATGCACGCCCAATCTCGCATCACAACCCACCGTTGTCACCGTGGCCAACAACCAAAAGATGGATGCGAATTCCCGCGGAATCGTTGTCCTAAACGCACACGACAGGAAATTGCACATCACCCTCCTTGTATATTCAGATTTTGCAAGTACCACACTTTTGATATTTGTTCATGTGTACCTTACCACATTTAACTCTGGTAAACGATTTTCCTGCAACCAGATTGGAAGAAATATATGCTTTCCTCTGATAATGATATCATTTTTTTTTACTATGGAATATCATAATGTGTTATACATATATAGGGAATTAATCTATGCTTGAAGCTGGAAGATAAAATACGTGACGGTTGTGTTGCGGCAAAACTACAACGAAGCATACCTGGCCTATCTGCAGCGGGGACGCAACGCTGCAGGCCTGAGGGAGGTGCGATGAACCTGTATCAGGAGGGCGACGTCAGGTTGCACAACTTCTGTAGGCTCATTGCGGTCAACTTTGTTTCGTCATGGTGCAAAACGGTGCCCACCGTGTTCAACCTTCTTGTGCCACGATACAAGAACTGAATGTGCGAGAAGTGTGCAACCTGACCTCGCCCTGAGTTTTCGTGCGAACGCAGCAAAACTTGGGTGCTTTGCTTTGCATGTCGCTACCAGCCCTCCCTGAGCGGACAACATTGTTGGTTTTGGGCTGTGTTCCCAGGAAGGTAACTGATCGGTTATGGAATTGAGTTGTGCAACGGAACACGCATTCCTTGTTCGTATGTGGTCCCAAAATCTACTGCGCTTACATCCCACCACCAGCCCACGAGGAAGGGGCATGTCAAGAATCCGATCCGAACCCCCCCCGGCGCCACCCAACGACTATCTCACTACAAACTCTTCTTACGTTGGGGAGGGCTTGCGTGGATTACCCCTTGAAAGTCTTGGAGCAACTTCTCACCCACCCTACTGTCGTGTCCATCGCGCGCAATCCCGCGATGCCCCTCCCTCCCATCCATGGCAAAACACTCGCGGGCTCACTCTGCTTCATGTGGTGTGACGTGTGCTGTACTGTTCGTACTGTACGAAGTACAACTTCAACTGTACAGCACACCATTTTTTTTTTTTGTCGGACCCCGTGTGTGAGTCGTGACTTATGGTGGTGAGGGGGGGAAGAGGACCACGCCGCCAATTCTCGCTACGATCGATCGCCTCAGCACAACGGAACCACCATCCATCCACCATCCACAACGGCCCTCTTCGGCAGCAACTTTGCAACAAAGGGGTCCGAGTCGCTAGCCTAGGTTCCGAACCTAACAAGACTGATCCTGCAGCAAGCTCTTTCATTGTTGTGACATGCTGTACCAACTGCTTGTTCTAGAATTTAAACGGTCGACATTCACTAATATCCCCCGCTGCTTGCACCCACCTCCCGCAGATAGGCGCCCGCTCCGCCTTCACGCCGCGTGTGCATTCTCTTGCCTGTGCTATATGAACTCGCCGAGTCGAGCTTGGCCGCTAGCGGCACAAGCGGCGAGGAGAAGCCGCCCGGCCCATGGCCCTTGTCGCCGTGCCAGCCGCAGTGTTTGTTAGTCCGCCTGCCAGGCCGCCATTCTCCTCCAATCCTCGAAGCAACCCCGTTCCTCCCCATTCCTCTTTCTCCTCCTCCTACCCCGCCGCCGCCGCCGCCGCTACCGCTGCCCCCGTTGCCGCCGCTACCGCTGACCCCTTCGCCGCTCACGGACCAGTGGCGCGTGCGGCTGCGCAAACGGCCGGACGCGGCAGGCAGGCGTGGAGGAGCATTCCCCCTTCCGCCTCCGCGGTGGCGCAATGATATTGGCTGAAACTCTGGGCTGTTCGCCAGGCGAGACAATGGTGGAGGGGACGGAGCTGGCCGGGGAGGAGGGTCGGTGCAAGCAACCAGCAGAGCCAGCTGCTGATGTCGCAGCGGACAATGACGCGTACAAGCCCGCCGCCGCATGTGCCGCTCCCGCGGCTTCCGCTGGTGGCGGAGCGCTGGCAACAACTCCAGGCTCGGGCGCAGTTTTGAACGCGCCTACTGCGAAGAAACGCGCGCACATAACTTGGGCGCACGACGTGGTCTCCGCCACTTGCGCCGATGGCGTCGACACCGGCGCGCGCGGAGGCGGAGGCGTTGGCGAATGTGAGGAGGTGGCTTTCGAGGAAGGAACGGAGCGAGAACTGAAAGACGAGAGCTACAATAGCAGCGTTAGCACGGCTAGTACCGTTACCAGCAGTCGCGGCACGAGTACTACCAGCGGCAGCAACAGCAGCACCGTCAGTCGCGCTACTGGCAGCTCCAATAGCAGTATTAGCGACCCTGGCAGACTGAAGCCGCAGTTTAAAAGCCTCAGCGTCGAGCCGCCTACGGATGTGGAAGGCGGCGCGCGAGGAAGCTACAACTCCACTCCGACCACCAATGGCTCCCGGACCGCCGCACCCGCTGCTCCCGCTGCGCCCGCCGCTCCCGCTGCGGATGTCGCTGACCCTGCGACAGCTATCTCGTTCGCGCCCACTTTGGACACCGAAGCCGCCGCCGCGGTTGCCGTCGAAAGAGAACGCGGCGGTTTTGGGGGGAATGACCGGCGAGCGAGGAGCAGCCGAAGCGCGGGGGGCACGCCCGTTTCGACTCCGAAAACAGGCACTTCCACACCCAAAACTCCTAAGACGCCGAAAACGCCGGCGGCGATGGCGGCAAATCTGACTCCGCGCAGCAGGAGCGGCGGTGGAAGGCGCCTCTCAGCCAACGGGGCGCGGAAATCCCTAGGCTTCACGCGGAGATTCTTCGTGGGCGAGACGCTCGGGCAGGGCGGGTTCGGGCGCGTCGATCTCTGCAGCGACATGCTCGATGGCGGCGGCGGCGGCGGGAAAGGTTTAGGCGGCGCGCTGGCGGTGAAGACGATCAATAAGCTCGCGCTGTACGAGGGGTGCCTGCGGCCCGAGCAGATGGCGGAGCGCCACGCGGCGTTGAAACGCGAGGTGACGGTGCTGAAGCTGCTGTCAGGGCATCCGAACATTGTGCAGGTGAGCGCGGCGAGGCGGGGAAGGGCGGGGAAGGAGGGGGAGGGCGGGGGAGGGAAGGGGAGGGCGGGGAGAGAGAGGGAGGGGGGAAGTGAGGAACGAGGTGGGAGACGGGAAAGCGGCCCCGGGAGAAAGGGGAGGGGAAAGCGGGAAGGGCGGAGGGAGAGGCGGGGAAACGGGAGGGAGAAACGGGGAGTGAGGGAGGAAACGGGTGGAAGGTTTTGAGGGGTGGGAGACGGTTAGGGAAAGGCGGAGGAGACTCATGGCCGTCACGTGAAAGTTCTTTTTAACCACGAGGGTGGTTTGGTCTGCGTCTTCCGCACACCGCACACCGCATATCGCACACACACCGCAGGTGTCAGGGAATTTAGTCGGACCGCCCGGAGAACTCAACTGACAGTCACCGGGATGGCATGATATTTCAGATAGATACACCTCTCAGGGAATTAGTCGGGGTCGTAACAACAACCGACGTTCCCCATCAGCTGCGCGCGGGCAAAAACAAGAAGCCTTTTCTGGATGGCATGCGGCTCGAAAAGGATCAACCCTAAACACACGAACCTGTCACGTCTAGGGTTTGTCCCAGCTTGATTGGGCATGCTGTTCCGAGAGAAAATTATTTGTTTCCCCCCAGTCAGTTGACGGCTGACAGTCAGTTGACGGCTGGACGTCGGTAGATCTCCGAAATGTTTGGGGATCGACGTTGGCCTGCTGATTCCCTTGAGACGTACAGCAGAAAATTTCCAGTTGCTCCCTCTGTCTCCCTCCCCCTCACCGTTTCTCCATTTCTATACCCCTCCCTTCCTCCATCCCCAAGTCCCTCCATCTCAAAGTGCTCTCTCTCTCCCTCTCTCTCCCTCTCTCTCCCTCTCTCTCCCTCTCTCTCCCTCTCTCTCCCTCTCTCTCCCTCTCTCTCCCTCTCTCTCCCTCTCTCTCCCTCTCTCTCCCTCTCTCTCCCTCTCTCTCTCGCTCTCCTGCACAGGTGAAGAAAGTGTACGACTCAAAAGCAAGCCTTCGAGTGGTCATGGAGTATTGTGATGGTGGCACTCTAAAGGATCGCCTCTTACAGTGTATGGAGCAGCAGCAGCAAGCAGCAGAAGCAGCCAGCAGCTCTCCCGTCCTCGTAACCCCAGGAAAACTTGTCAGTTGGGACATCAAGAGCACTCTCAAGGGCATAAGGGATGGGATTACGGGCACTGTGGGTGGAGGGAACAAGAGCGTGGGGCATAGTTGGGCTGGGGGCATGAAGGAAAATGAGGCGGCTGATATTTTCCACCAGCTTGTTACAGCAGTACACTACTGTCACTCGAAAAATGTGTTACATCGCGACATAAAGCTCGAGAACGCCCTGCTGGTTTTGGGGGGAGGGAAGGAGGAGGGGAAGAAAGAGTGGCAGGGGGAAGGTGAGAAGGATGGCAAGGGAGGTGGGGGTGGGTCGGGACGCGGCGTAGGAAAGCATTTGAGGGAGAAGGACGGAGTGGGAGCAGTTGGAAGAGCAAACGGTGAAGAGCGAGGTGGGTACATGGCTGTAAGGGAGGCGCGGATGGTGGTTGATGCACAAGGGGAGACGGGCGAGGGCGACTCAGAGACTGAGTCAGATGCAGATGCAGATGCAGGAGAAGCAGCAGAAGCAGTGGCAGCAAGAACAGCAGCAGCAGCAGCAGCAGGTTCACCGCTAGGAAGTGGTGTTGCGAGAGGGGGCCTCTTCCGCTCACGTTCCTTCGATCCTGCTGAGCAGTCGTCATCACACCGCCTCTCCAGCCCATCCGGACCCATCCCCACCTGCCACTCTGCTGATGACACTGCCTCCATTCCCCAACCCCCTTCCTCCCTCCCTGCCACAGTCAAGCTAGCAGACTTTGGCCTCGCTATAGTGCTCTTGCCCAACAAACAGCAGGTGACTGGCAAGTGCGGCACGTCAGGGTACATGGCCCCGGAAGTGGTTTTAGGTAAGAGCTACGGGTTAAGTGCGGACGTATGGAGCCTGGGAGTGGTGCTGCACGCGCTTCTGTTCGGTGAGCTGCCAGTGTACAAGCAAGAGAAGGACGTGGCCAGATACGGCGTACCTAGACCGAGCGGGAACAAGTGGAAGGCTGCTTCTCCTCTCGCCCTCGACTTATACCGGCAGCTCCTGCAGATTGACCCTGCAGAGAGGATTGCACTCTCTGATGCGCTCAACCACCCCTGGTTCCACGCCTGCAGCAGCAGCAGCAGCAGCAGCAACAGCAGCAGAGCCCGTGATGGGACTCCCACAGGGCCCACCGCGCGCCTTGCTCCAGGCACCACCACGCGCAGCCCGAGCAGCCTTGGGGATTACTTTCGCAGAGCCGGTTCTTTCCAGCGAGGGGGTGCTGCTGGTGGGGCGGGTAGCTGGAGGAGTGGGCAGATGGATGGGGATGGGAATGGGGGCAGCGGGAGGAGGAAGAGAGGAGTGCAGCTCAAGATCACGGTGGCTGGGAGGACTCTGGCGTTGAAAATGAAAGTGGGGGGGCTGTGGCATGTGCCCATGGGTCAACAACAGAGCTGAAGGGTCAACAACAGAGCTGAAGGGTCAACAACAGAGCTGAAGGGTCAACAACATAACTGAAGGGTCAACAGAACTGAGGGGTTGAAGGTTCAACAGGATTGGAAGGTCAACAGCATGGGTGTAATAGTAGGGTCTCCGAGTTTGCCTGGTTATTGGTGTTCCAACCTTCTGGGATGTAATTGAATTGTGCTACATGTTTTTTTTTTCCTTTAATCGTCCTTACAGGTTTTCGTTAATGAGTCACAAGTGAACCTGAACCACAAAATATGATTCTGTATTCCCGTGTGGAGTGGAAGAAAGCCCCTAGGGGCTTGTAGGGATTGGAGTGGAAACGTGGGTAGGTACAAGATGCCTACAGAATGTAAAAACGAGGTACACGGTACAAGATGGCTCAAATAGGTGCATGGAAACTAGCTAGCAGTGGCATTGGCGTGGACGGTGGACCTCCGGCTAGGAGAGGGTGGTTGGGGGCGAAAATATGGTTGGCCGAACCAGCTGACGCAAGCACCTCAGACAGACCCCTCAGAGACTTGCCCGCTGAAGTGCGCCCTTCCAGAATGAGGATTAATAATCCCTTACAGTAGGTAATCATTCGTAACAACTAGTCAAGTCACCCTCTGTAGCCTACAGCAGATACCGTATTTGCCAAGAGGTTCAGGAAATACCCAGCCCAGTCTAATAATCGTTGTTCCAGCCAAAATAAAGAAGCTCTCTAGAAGCTCGCTAGAAGCCCGCTAGAATTCCGCAAGAATCCCGCTCCTTGCAACGCATCAGCACCTTCTAGGGAAGACGCACATACTGCACCGAACGTTAATCGGCACCGTTGGAAAACATGTGAGGGCAGAGAGAGAGGTGGTGGTGCTGAAGGGGGGGAGGAAATGGCATGCGCAGGAGAAGCGGGCACAGAGGGAGGTAAGCGACTTATAGCTCGGCCGGTGGCGGGTATTTGAGAGCGCGAGAGTTGTGAGTATGTGAGAGAAAGAGCACCTCCAGCACCTCCCCAGCACCTCCCCAGCACTTTCTCAGCACTTTCCCAGCACTTTCCCAGCACTTCCCCAGCACTTCCTCAGCGCCTCCTCAGCGCCTCGCCCTAAGCGGCAACCCCCAAGCAGCACCCCCCTCCCAGCAGTGTGGGGGCGGTCAGTCATAGAGGCCCTCCTGGTCCCACACACCCACTAGGAACTCCACCATCTCCTGCCATGCCCTCCACACACCCATGGGGCACACGGGAGCCATGGGGCGCCGGGGGAGACGGGCAAACGGATGGAAATAGGGCGAGGAAGAGGGGAGAGGGAGAATGGAAGTGAGAGGAAGAGAGAGGAGGAGGGGGGGGGGAGAGAGACGCAGAGCCAGAGATGTCGGGGGTGATAGTGGGAGGGTGGAGGAGCGAGAGAAGAGAGAAGCGGCTAAGAGTGCCTCAGGTGTTTGACAACGCTGAGGGGTTTAGGATGAGAAGAGAGGGATGAGAAGGGAGGGACGAGAAGAGAGGGACGAGAAGAGAGGGACGAGAAGGGAGGGACGAGAAGAGAGGGGCGAGAAGAAATCACAACGCTGAGACTCACAAAAGCATATGGAAGACGAGGAGGAGCAGATGGGGGGAACCTGTGGCAGTGGCACAGTGATAGATAGGTGAGATGTGGGCACCACCAAGGGGAGAGGCACGATGGGCGGGGAGAGAGTGAGTGACAGCGAAGGCACTAGGGGAAGGACTCACGGGCAAAGGCACAGGGTTGGGGAAGGGACGGTTGGTGGAGAGGAGCTGCTCGTATGTGGTGCCGGGACTGGGGGAGGGGAGGAGAGTACGGTGGGGGAGAGAGAGGGGGAGGGAGGGAGGGAGGGAGGGAGGGAGGGAGGGAGGGAGGGAGGGAGGGAGGGAGGGAGGGAGGGAGGGAGGGAGGGAGGGAAGGAGGAAGGGAGGGAGGGAGGGAGTAAGAAAATGGGAGGTGGGGAGGGGAGAAAGAGACAAAGACCGAAGGAACTGGGGGGATATGCGAGGGTGAATGAAGAGACGGAACGGATGGAGAGTGTGTTGGAGAGAATTGTGTGTGGGGAGAAAGAAAAACTGGACAGATGCAAATATGTAGGGACGACGAGAAGCTGTGCAGTGCACACTGCGAGCGGACAGCACAGCAGCTCGGAGCACATGGGGACAAGCGGGAGCAGCACCATGGGTGCGGAGTGGTGCAGTGCGGTGGGCCAGGGTTGGGCAGGGTGAGGCAGGGTGGGGCAGGCAGGGTAGGAGGGCACGAGTGAGTGGCACAGCAGGAAGATAAAGTAAGGTCATACACCTGTGTAATCCTCATGTGTCCATCCAACACCTAATGTCATTGCTTCCCCACACCCAGACCTCCCTGCTCTGGAACCACCCTCACCTGATTGCACTCTTTGCCTTTGCACGCCCCTCCTGCTCTGCACCACTACCGCCAGCATCATCCGCCCTTCCGCCACCTGCCCCTTCCCCCCGCTCCCCCCCCGGTACCCCCCCCCTTTGCCTCTGCTCCAGCTGCGCTCGCCCCCCTGCCCCTCCCCCCGTCCTCCACTGCTGGCGCGTGTGTACCCACGTGGCAAGGCCTGATTGGGCAAAAGAAGAGGTGGATAACGGGCGACAAAAGAATTGAGGATGAGGCAAGTCTCTGGCAGTAACAGTGGGTGAAGGGATCGCGGTGTGCAGAGGGAATGGCACAAGGGCCAAAGGGAAGGAGGTGGTGTGGGAGAAGAGCAGAGGACGGAGAGAGAGAAGCGAATGTTGAGAGGAAGAGGGAGGGGGTGAGAGGGGAGAGAGAGTAAGAGGGAGAGCATGGGGTGCGTGCGCTCCTCAGCTGCTCATCACAAGCACCAGCCTCTCAGCGGTGATTGCATCAGCCAGGGAAGACGGGGCATGCGTGTATCAGACCAGACCAGATACTGCCAAACAGCCCGTGACTACTCAGGCTCATTGCTTTGTCCATAAACTCCTCCGTGTGGAGTGGAGTAGCTCCCGTCCCCCCCCTCCACCCATGCCCCACGTCTCCACCCCATCCGACTAGAAGCATGCATGGGTCGATACCCAATAGCTCCGCCAATAGTTCCTCTCACCTCCCACTATCCGCCAACCACTACCCAGTTGGTTCCTCTCCCACCCCACCGCTCCTACAGCCAGGGCACCCACCCACCCCAACCCAACCCAACACGGTGCTCTTTCTCTCCTGTGCCGAGATGAACACATAGTGCAATCTCACCTCCCCTTGGCGTCACGACCCTGCATGCAAGCCACATTCCTTGCAGTGCGTTGGCGTTCTTAAACCCTCTTGAAGTTCTTAAACCCTCTTGGCGTTCTTAAACTCTCTCGTTATCCCGCCTGGCCCCACCCTCTTTTCTCTTCCCCTTCCCCTTCCCCTTCCCCTCCGCCAACCCCCTCACCTCGGTTCACAAACACCCCGTTGTGCCCATCCGCCGACCCTCCCACGCCCACAGAAGCACCTGCGCGCGCTCCAGCCCCGCCCCCTATCCGCTCACCCCCCCCGCCCGCGCCCATCCCCGCGCTCGCGCGACCTCCGCTTCCGCCAGCGCCCGTAGCAACAGGGGAGGCCGCGGAGACAGCAGCGGCAGCAGCAGCCGTCATGTCATCGGAACTCTCGCTCCCCCACCCGCCTACTCCCCCTTTCCCCCTCAACACCCCTCCGCCTCCGCCCAGCCGCCCCCCGCGGGTAGACCTCCTGGCTAGCGCGGACGCTCTGCTTGCGGATGAGGGTGGGCGGAAGGAGTACGGGGGGAAGTGCGCGTGCGGGAAGGGGTATTGCGCGGGAGCGGACGAGGGCAAGGGGGCGGTGTCCCCGGGGGCGAGGGAAGGGGCGCGCGGGGAAAGGGAGGATACGGGACCAGCAGAACCACCACCACCACCGCCACCACTAGCTGCAGTCACAGTTGCAGTGGATTCGCGGGGGTTATGCGCAGGCACTTTCTGGGCCTCTCTAACCTCTCTGCTTCCGCCTCCTTCCCTTTCCGCCGCGCGCGCCCCTGGTTGCGCGGGGGCTAGGCTCTCCGCGGCGCTGCGCCACGTGGCAGCGGCGGGCGGAAGATCCTCGCTCGCCTTGCGGAATAATTCTCTTGGAGAAGAAGCGGGCGGGACTGGCGGGGTTTTTCGAGATTCCGAGCCAATGCCAGAACCCCCTACGCCTACTCCCGCCGCTTCCCCTTCCGCCTCTCCCTCGCGCTTTGCCTCAACCCCCCCCTGGCCCCCTCCTCCCCCTCCGCCGCTGCCGCCCGATGCCCCGCAGCTACCGCAACCGCCGCCGCCGCCGCCGCTTTGTAGGTCGAATGGGGCCGAAGAAACAGCAGCAGCGGCAGCGGCGGCGGCGGCAGTCGCAGCAGGAGCAGCAGCAGCGATGCCTGCTTCGTGCGATGCGTCCTGCGTTGATGCTGCTGCTGCTGCTGCTTCTGCTGCCGCTGCTCCTGCTGCCGCCTCCCCCCTCTTGCGCTTTAGCCCGATAGGGTCCGTGATGCCAATTATATAGTCGAAAGTGCTGCTGGCGGCGCCGCCGACCGTGCTGCTAATGCTACTAACGTTACAACTGCGGCTACTGCTGCCGCTGCTTCCGCTGCTGCCGACGTGATGCAGTAACGACGCACTACACGCCGCTCGTCGCTGCTCGCAACGCGACTTTCGCACACACTCTTGCGAATTCAAACGGTTTTGGTAACAGCAAACCGAATCCTGCTGTCCCAGACAATACTGTTGCTGCTGCTTCTGCTGCTGCTGACAATCTGGAAGCAGCAGGTGCTGGTGGTGGCGCGGTTGCTGCCCCGCCGCCGAATTCGTGCGGGAAAGTCCGATGGTGGAAACGCCGCTGCTCGTCGCACGGTCGGTAACGAGCGCAGGGGAGGCGGAACGCAGCGAGGGAGGCGAAAAAACGCAAGACGATGAGAAAGGGGGAAGAGGACACGAGAGCAACAACAGGCATGTAAAGAAATGTGGGCGACCAGATGTGGGAAGAAATAAGGGAGGAAAAGGGGGTGGGGCCGGGGAGGGGAGTGGTTTGTTCTGTTACTTTACAACATGTCAGCAGCCACAGCAACGGCTGTACGTCGAACCGCATTCCGTGTTCGGTAAAAACGAACCCTTATCCCTCCTATCCGCGTATCACCTGACCTGCTTCCGCACCTGACTGCCCTACTCACCAGATTGCCTTGCTCGCGATGCTTGCGGCTGCTACAGTCGTTACCGCCATGCAGCTGCCGCCGCCCACGCCACTGTCGCCGACCCTGCCGCCACCGCCGAGAAAAGGGATTCGCTTAGACGCAGTTGGAGCTTTACTGCTAATGCTATGGCATAATGATGACTGGCGAATCGTAACTTGCACGAGCTTGTGAAGGCTCAGACGGTAATGGTGGTTTGAATAAACTGCTGGTACTTCAAACAAAAGCTGCTCTGGTTCACATCGAGTGGAATGGCAAGGGGAACTCCGTGCGGCAGGGAGGGGTGACGTGACGAGGTGAGATATTTGAACTTCTGGGAGTACACTATTCGAACACACTTTGCAATCTCGAGTTTCAAGTGGTATTCACTCCTCCGGTTAGTGTGTTTCCGCAGCTTCAGTGACTCAACGACCGCCAACGAGCGGGTCAGCTCCCGAAATTAGGTGGCTAACCACGTGCCTCTACCATCTTCGAAGTTACTTACCTAAGCCAGAAAAATTAGGGAAGGGTTTACAAAGAATATCGGAAACGGTCAGGATGGAGGAGTATTGAAATGTCGTGGTGAAAATATCGAGGTCCAGGTTGGGGGTGTGATGGTGGTGGTGAGGCTTGGCGGCGAAGCAGGGTGAGGAGAGAGAGCAGGTGAGGTGGAGTTGTACAAGCTGGACTGCTGAGGTGGACAGACACGGCGATATCTAGGTTTGACCGACAGGACAACATCGCGCCGATAGTTATAGCTGGATTGGATTGGACGACAGCGATGGATGGATCATGGAGGCAGGGGAGAGCGAGGGGTGGTTGGAGCTGTATGCGTTGTAGCGTAAACTCAGTAAGCGCAGCCTACACTAGTATTCCTTACACTACACAACTCGTAACACTCTGTGTAGTAACTCGTAACATATCGGTTAGTCCGAAAGCTTGTCACCTTCGTCACCCCAGGTTCAAAGCGGACTGGAGGTGCTAACCCGGACTTCAGCGTTGACTTGGAAGGAATTACAAACCAGCTCGCGAACACTCCGGCCCTGCTCGACAGGCAGCCAAGCCCTTCCGCGGAACTATCGGGGCTGATTCGATTTTGGTTATATTTTTGTGGTCAGCCCTGATATGGGTGCCGAACCTGGCAAACCCTCCCGAACCAGACTAACACTTCGTTGCCTGTCGAACGGGCCTTTTACGAGATGTGTTAAGTCTCCTCCGAAAGATCCAACTCTCTTCGCTCACTGGCAGGCGATGAGCCCACCTCCAGCCCAAACCTCGCCTCCCCAAACTGGGGGTTGGCCAAGAGATGGGCTAGGGCTTGCCCCCGCAAATGTTTTCCACTCCTACCCGTGCTCTAAACTTCCATCACCGCCCTAAAAATGTTGACGCGTCCTCAGCAACCCTTGACGCGTCTGGACTTTGTTGGTTCTTTTTGTTTTCCACTCGACTGTTACCCTGGTACCCGTGGCATGCGTTCGAAACTTTTGAATCCTGCCCTAGCCCAAGATGGTGGAAGGAGGAACCCAGCACCGCCCTGACGACCCCCTCCTTCCGATATCGGGAGGCGCAGCTTCCCTTTTGGTCGGGGGGGGTTTAGCCCAGGGGAAGGTGCTCCGAAAACTCCCCCGAGCACTAGCCTAACCCTAGCCCAGCATGGGTTAGGCTGCCTATCGAGCAGGGCCTCCGTTCCTTCCGTCGCGTTTACGCCACGCGAGAGGGTAACCCGGCGCCCTCCTGCACGAGCCGCATGTCGGACCAGAAATTGAGGTACAAATTGAGGTGCCAGAATTGTTCGAAAACACAAATCAGCAACCTCCACCTCTTCAACAAACTCGTAGCACCCAACCTTACAATGTGATGATTTTTACCTAGAAACCATCAACTTCCTCATCCGTGAGCAGCGTGTTACTCGCCACACTAATTCAATCTGGTTCTCTTGCGGCTCGATGGGGACCCTGATGAAACCGCAGCTTGTGGTGACCTCTCTGTTTATCTTTCTCCTCGTCGGCTCTTGCACTGCATCTCATTCCAGACGTGCTCTTGACCGCGAGGACGCTGTCTCCTGGAATGCAGCATCTATCACGACGGACAGTCCCAACGCGCCTCGCAACGGAATTCACGCCAAGGCTGCGAGGCCGGTCGCAGAGAGGGTTTCAGAGCCCCTCGTGTATTCTGCCAGAGGCGCTGCTGGTTCGCACGCGACTGGGCCGAGTTGGAGTCGGCACGCTGCGGCCAGCCGCGTGGGAACCGCCGCCACTCACGCCGCTCCTCACGCCGTCCCTCACGCCGCCCAATATGCAAACTCTCGTGAAGCGCCTCACGCCGCACGTAACGCCGTGAATCACGGCTCTCACGGACCTGGAAATGTCAACCTCCATGCAGCAGCGCCGAATCAGCATAATCGAGGTGGTGTTTCCCGCCACGACGGGAACCGCGGAGAAATGGCCGTCAACGGCGCATTCCGCGCAGCCAGCACCAACGACGTGGAGATTCGTCATCATCGTTCCAGAAACGAGCGCCAACGCGGCGGCCGCGGCAGTGGACGGACAGTGGGACATACGCAGCGCGGCAGCAGCGGCAGCAGCGGCAGTGGCGCCGGAGTTAATAACGGCGGGGCGATGATGCCGGGATTCCAGGCGTCACGCTTGAACAACATGGACAGGCGCGGGGGATTCCACAAGGCTGGAGCCTCTGATGTGGTCATCCACAGGAGGAATGGTGGCGGCAACAGAAATGAACAGGCCGTGAATCGCCTCGGCAATTATCGTCATGATGATGGTGTGAGTAATGGGATAGTGGGGATGTCGTCTACACACACTAACGCAGCTGGTGATTACAGTGGTGGTGACTATAACGGTGGCGACTATAACGGAGGCGACAACGGCGGTGACTATAATGGAGGCGACAACGGCGGTGGCTATAATGGAGGCGATAACGGCGGTGACTATAATGGAGGCGGCAACGGCGGTGACTACAACGGAGGCGACAATGGTGGTGACTATAATGGAGGCGACAACGGTGGTGACTATAACGGTGGTGACAACGGTGGTGACAGCGGTGGTGACTATAACGGTGGTGACAACGGTGGTGACAATGGGGATGGGTGCCCTGATGGTGGTGATGGCGGAAATGGCGGGGGTGACCCTGGAAATGGCGGGGGTGACCCTGGAAACGGCGGGGGTGACCCTGGAAACGGCGGGGGTGACCCTGGAAACGGCAGGGGTGACCCTGGAAACGGCGGGGGTGACCCTGGAAACGGCGGGGGTGACCCTGGAAACGGCGGGGGTGACCCTGGAAACGGCGGGGGTGACCCTGGAAACGGCGGGGGTGACCCTGGAAACGGCGGGGGTGACCCTGGAAACGGCGGGGGTGACCCTGGAAACGGCGGGGGTGACCCTGGAAACGGCGGGGGTGACCCTGGAAACGGCGGGGGTGACCCTGGAAACGGCGGGGGTGACCCTGGAAACGGCGGGGGTGACCCTGGAAACGGCGGGGTTGACCCTGGAAACGGCGGGGTTGACCCTGGAAACGGCGGGGGTGACCCTGGAAACGGCGGGGGTGACCCTGGAAACGGCGGGGGTGACCCTGGAAACGGCGGGGGTGACCCTGGAAACGGCGGGGGTGACCCTGGAAACGGCGGGGGTGACCCTGGAAACGGCGGGGGTGACCCTGGAAACGGCGGGGGTGACCCTGGAAACGGCGGGGGTGACCCTGGAAACGGCGGGGGTGACCCTGGAAACGGCGGCGGCGGCGACGGCGGAAACAATGGCGGTGGTGGCGGTGGAAGCATCGACATCGCAGGGATTCTCGAGGAGCACAACAAGGCACGGCAGGAGGTGGGTGTGGCGGACCTGGCATGGGACGACAACGTGGCAGCAACGGCACAGGAGTGGGCGACCCACCTGGCGTCCATCGGGTGCCCTCTGGAGCACGGCGGAGCAGAGGGGCTCGGGCAGAACCTCTACTGGCTGTCACCCGCGGGGCTGACCCCACAGGAGGACCGTGGGGCGGTGCAGTCGTGGGTGGACGAGAAGGCGGACTGGACCCCCAGCCCCATTCCCGACGGGTGTGCGGATGGCAAGATGTGTGGGCACTACACGCAGGTGGTGTGGCGGGACACCACTCATGTCGGCTGCGCCTCTGCTCAGTGCCCTGATGGCTCCGGCATGTGGGTCTGCGACTACTCGCCCCCGGGCAACTTCGTTGGCCAAACCCCTTTCTAGGCCGCCTGCCAGTGAATTTTGCTGGAGAGAGGGTGTGCATGTGATAGATTTCTGAATGGAAGGGACTATGGGAAAGTGAACCAGGAATGAGGGAATTATAGTACACCACTTTTGGGAGAGACAGGTCTGGAAATGTGATAGGTTTGGCATTCATATGTCCTTGCAATTTGTAATGTACTTCAGATATTTGATATTGCGTGATTGGTATCCAAACTTGGAATGAATGGATTGTATAGGACGCTCTTCCTATTTTTTTGGGCTAGCTTATAACGGAACTATACATTGGGATGAAGCATTTTGTCCTTCCTATCTTGCTACCCACCCATTTCGACAATTTCCTTGTAATAGCACCAAGGTAGATATAGGTCACTTGGACATGTGAGCAAGTAAAGCTATGTCCAAACCAGCATTTGAAGGTACACAATTATATCCAAACTGTCAGAATGTAATATTCTTATATAATTGCATGTTTAGTTAGTTAGTGTAGTATCACCTATCATGTATTAGGTGGTCTACCTCCCTTCACCGCCTCCTTCGTTTCCTATAAGTTGTATTGCATTCTATAGTGCAAGCCCTTCTCTTGGCCAAACTCTCTCTTCACAAACCCTAGCCTCTAGCTACTATTCTAACATGGTACAGAGCAGTAAAACGGTCTAAGGACCTAATTTTTTTTTTTTTTTAGTAACATGGGCCCGCCCACCGAAGCGCGAAATGCGCCATTTTTCTTCGTCCCGTCGCGCCCTGCGCCCGTCGCGCTCGTCGCCCTGCGCTCTGCCCGTTCTGCCCGTCGCGTCCCCCGCGTCGCCCCGAGCTGTTTCGTCGACCCGCGGCCCCCGCGTCGCCCCGCGCCGTTTCGTCGCCACGAGGCCCGCACGTCGCCCCGCGCCCTTTCGTCGACCCGCGGCCCGCACGTCGCCCTCGCGGACGCCAACGCATGCGCCCAGCGCCAGCGCCAACGCCAGCGCCAGGCGCCAGCGCCCGTCGTCAGTGGGGACGCCAGCGCCAGGCGCCTTCACGAGCGCCAGCAGCGGCTCACGCCGCCCCCCCTGCCCTCCCTTCCGCGGCTTCCGCCGTGGGGGGGGGGGGGGGGATGTGGGGGTGGCAGGTGTGAGCAGCCAGCAACCCGTCCCTCCCTTGCCTCTACCTCTCTCCCTGCAGCACTTGTTGCTGTGGGGGGGGGGGGGGGGGGAGAGAGAGGTTAAGGGGGGATGAAAGAGAGAGAGAGAGAGAGAGAGAGAGAGGTTCGCATTTTCTGGTTTCCTTGTCTATTCTCTATCCGTCGTATCTGGGCGCCGTCGTTCCTCGTCGCGCGCTCACACCGGGCATCCACTGCGGGGGTTAAACCGCAGGCGGGCATTCCACCGTACCCGGCGGTGGGCCCAGCTGCGGCACGGTGTTGCTTGCCCTTCGAGATGAGCCCCTTCACTGGCTACACTTGCATGCAATTAAGGGGGGATGTCAGAATGTAATTTTCTTATATAATTGCATGTTTAGTTAGTTAGTGTAGTATCACCTATCTTGTCTTAGGTGGTCTACCTCCCTTCACCGCCTCCTTCGTTTCCTATAAGTTGTATTGCATTCTATAGTGCAAGCCCTTCTCTTGGCCAAACTCTCTCTTCACAAACCCTAGCCTCTAGCTACTATTCTAACACAAACCTCTACCCTATATAGTCCACCTCTACCTAGCCCATAAGTTCACATACAAAACTAGATATGTGTACTTTGATACACCCCCTAGGCTTAAAAAAAGGGGGGGGGCGTGCCAAGAAGAAGAGGAATAAATCAGGGCGGCACTATTATGTCAGATTTATATGACAGAGCTACTGTAGGCTATAGTGGGGTAGCACATATGGGGTACAGTTTTCTAGGGTTTGCATTTGTACCCAACTTTCCCTTAGTCATTCTCATTCCTCGTTTCTTCTCATGGTATCAGAGCAGGTTCCCTAGTGGGAACGATTCCTAGGGCCCACCACCACGGTGGGGGTGGTGGTGGGGGTGGAGGTGTCGGTGGCGGCGGTGGAGGCGGAGGCGGCGGCGGCGGTGGCGGTGGGAGCGGAGGTAGCGGCGGTGGAGGAGGCGGCGGCGGAGGAGGTGGAGCTGGTCGGGGTGGCGCTGCGCAGAGGGTCGGCTCCGGTGGTGGTCAGCGCCAGCAGCAGCAGCAGCAGCAGCAGCAGCGCACTCGTGACATCCCCCCCCCTCAGCAGCTCCGTGAGTGGTACGCTGCACGCCAGCGGGGTGGGGGTACTGGTCCGTGCACCTACGTCCTCCGCACCGGCGACCGCGCGGGTGACCAGTGCGGGGGTGCGCACTCCACCCAGCGCTGCTTTGGCCGCCTGACGGACGCTTGGCGTCACCAGTTCCCTGAGGCCACTGAGATCCCCCGCTGGGGTGAGCTGTCTAGGGCGGGTGTCGCTGTCTTTGACCTTGACTTTGATGCTATTCTTGCTGCTATGTATACTGTGACTATAAGTGATGAGGGTGACTGTTACCGGTGTTTTCCGCCCGACCCGGGCATTGAGACTGCTGCTCTAGGTACTGGTGAGGCTGCTGCTCTAGGTGCTAGCGAGGCTGCTGCTCTAGGTGCGTCTGCTCCCTCAGGTGCTGGTGAGTCTGCTCTCTCAGGTTCTGCGTCGGCTTCGGCCTCCCACACCTTCACCCTTGACTCGGGGGCTTCTCGCTCCTTCTTTCGAGACCGCACCACACTCACGCCGCTTGGCCGGCCAGTTGCGGTCTCTCTGGCAGACCCCTCTGGGGGTCCTGTCCTTGCTCACTTCTCCACTGTCCTCCCGTGTCCGGCGGGCCCCTCTGGCACCCTGTCTGGTCTTTACCTCCCCTCGTTCTCTACGAACTTGGTGAGTGGTGCTGACCTACAGGATGCGGGGGTTCACCAGTTCACTCCTGCGAGTCAGCGGGTGACCCACTGCACGGACGCTCGGACTGGCCGACACCTGGCCACGTTTACCCGTCGGCCGGGGTCGAGCCTGTACACCCTGACCACTGCGTCTCCTCCAGTCACTGCGTCTGGTCAGGTAGCTGCGTCGGGTCAGGTGTTTGCTGCAGCGTCCAGGTCTGGTCCTGAGTCTGCCCCCTGTTCGTGTCGCCTCCTGTCTCACGAGACTCTCCTCTGGCACCACCGCCTTGGTCACCCCTCCCTGCTTCGTCTCCGAGGCATGGCCTCCCGTGTCCTTGTCTCTGGTCTTCCCCGGTCCCTCCCTCCCCTTCCTCCGGGGCCTGGCCCTACCTGCGTCCCCTGTGTCGAGGGGCGGCAGCGGGCTGCCCCTCACTCCTCCCAGTTTCCTCCGACAGAGGCCCCGCTGCAGACGCTTCACATGGACGTGTGGGGCCCGGCCCGCGTCCGTGGACAGGGTCACGAGCGCTACTTCCTGCTGGTGGTTGACGACTACTCGCGTTACACCACAGTCTTCCCCTTGCGCAGCAAGGGTGATGTCACTGAGGTGTTGATCGACTGGATCCGCGCAGCTCGTCTCCAGCTCAGGCAGAGCTTCGGCTCGGACTTTCCTGTTCTGCGTCTGCACTCTGACAGAGGTGGAGAGTTCTCCTCTGGCCTTCTGCGAGCCTACTGTCGTGCACGAGGCATCCGCCAGACCTTCACGCTTCCGGACTCTCCACAGCAAAATGGGATTGCTGAGCGCCGCATTGGCATGGTCATGGACGTCGCCCGTACGTCCATGATGCATGCGGCTGCCCCCCATTTTCTGTGGCCGTTTGCGGTTCGGTACGCGGCGCATCAGATCAACCTTCACCCTAGGGTCTCCAGGCCGGAGACCTCCCCAGCTTTGCTGTGGACGGGGAAGCTTGGCGATGCGTCTGCGTTCCGTGTCTGGGGATCTCGGGCGTTTGTCCGCGACTTGTCTGCGGACAAGCTGTCCCCTCGTGCTGCTCCTTGCGTCTTCCTTGGCTTCCCCCCTGACGCGCCAGGGTGGCAGTTCTACCACCCCACCTCTCGCCGTGTTCTGTCCTCCCAGGACGTCACGTTTGACGAGTCGGTCCCCTACTACCGCCTCTTCCCCTACCGCACTCCGTCCCTCCCCCCACCACCGCTCTTCCTTGTGCCAGGTCCCCCCCCGGTAGACCCCCTCCCCCCTCAGGGTCCTGCCCCTTCAGGTGTGTCCCAGGTAGACGCAGTCGAGCCTGTCGAGGTTACTGGTGACTCTGGTGCTGCTGAGGGTGCTGAGCCTGGGGGTGCTGACTCTGGGGGTGCTGAGCGTGTGGGTGCTACGCCTGGGGGTGCTGAGCCTGAGGGTGCTACTACTGGGGGTGCTGAGCCTGGGGGTACTGAGCCTGGAGGTGCTACTACTGGGGGTGCTGAGCCTGGGGGTGCTGAGCCTGGGGGTGCTGAGCCTGGGGGTGCTACGCCTGGAGGTGCTGAGCCTGGGGGTGCGGAGCCTGAGGGAGCTGGGCCTGCTCGTGTGGCGTCTGGCGGTGCTGAGCCTGGAGGTTCTCCGGGTGCTTCGTCTCGGCGGGAGCCACTCTCTCCACAGGAGCTGCGCGAGTGGTTTGCCCGGCGCTGGAGGCGTGCTGCTGGTGCTGGAGGTTCTTCGGCTACTGAGGGTGCTGGTGCCGCGGGTCCCGGAGGTGCTCGTACTGGGAGTACTGGAGCTGCTGGGCCTACGAGTACGACTGGAGCTGGAGCTGCTGAGGGTGTTGACGCTGAGGCTACTGCTGTCGGTCCTGGAGGCGGTCCTGCTGGGGGTGCTACTGGTGCTGCTGGAGGTACTGGAGCTGGAGGTGCTGCTGGCGCTGGTGCTGCCGCTGGGGGTACTGGTGCTGTCCCTGCTGTGTCTGGAGTCGCCGCGCGGCCTCGGCCGTACTTCGTTCCGCTCCTTCAGCAGGTTCTTGGTCTCCCGCCTTCTACTGGTCCTCCTCCTCCCTTAGAGTGTCCACAGCCTGTCCTGTCACAGTTACAGTTACAACCGGCCTCTCCCCACTGCCCGCTCCTTCTCCCTACACTGATCCTACTGGAGGTCTTGCTGGGCGTCGTGAGCCTGCGTCGCCTGTCCGTACTGCTCGCGCTAGTGGTCGTGGTTCGCGTCAGCGTCCTCCTCCTGTCCCTGGCACGCACCGGATGTCTCTGCGTCCGTCCACTGCTCCTCTGCGTGCCCCTTTGCCTTCTCCTCCTGAGTCCTCTCTTCCTGCTCTTCCCGACCCGGAGTCGGACTCTCTTCGTGCTGCCAGTCCTACTGTCACGCGTCTCCTTGCTACTGTCGTCACTGACCCTTCCTTTGCGTCCACTGCTGCGTCTGCCCTAGTTGCTGAGCTCGTCGACTTTGCTGCTCGCTGTCGTCTAGACTACGCTGCTTGTCTTGTTGCTGAGTCTGAGTCTGTCTGTCCTCCGTCCGTCGGGGGTGAGTGTGCCCTTGGCACGGACGTCCTTGAGGACAGGCAGGAGGAGTTCCAGTGTTTGGCTGCTGCTTCACCTCATCTCGTGTCCGTACTGCTTACCCCTGAGGGAGACCCGGATGCACTTGACATCCCGACTCCGCGCTCTTACGCGGAGGCGATAGAGGGTCCCTAATCCTCTCAGTGGCAGGCAGCTATGGACACAGAGATGGCTTCCTGGAAGTCCACAGGCACCTACGTTGACGAGGTTCCCCCGCCTGGGGCGAACATCGACAGTGGCATGTGGATTTTCAGGGTGAAGCGGCCGCCGGGTTCTCCGCCTGTCTTCAAGGCGCGTTACGTGGCTCGTGGCTTCAGTCAGCGGCAGGGAGTTGACTACTTTCAGACCTTCTCTCCCACCCCGAAGATGACCACTCTTCGGGTACTGCTGCACATAGCTGCTCACCGCAACTACGAGCTGCACTCTCTTGACTTCAGCACAGCTTTCTTGCAGGGCAGCCTGCACGAGGAGATCTGGCTGCGTCGCCCACCTGGCTTCACTGGGTCTTTTCCTCCTGGCACCCAGTGGAGCCTCCGGCGGCCAGTCTACGGTCTCCGCCAGGCACCGCGTGAGTGGCACGACACACTGAGGACTACACTTGCAGCTCTTGGGTTTGCTCCCTCTACTGCCGACCCGTCGCTGTTTCTGCGCACCGACACTTCTTTGCCGCCGTTCTACATCCTCGTGTACGTCGACGACTTGGTCTTTGCCACAGCTGACACTGCTGGACTCGCCCACGTGAAGTCCGAGCTGCAGAAGAGACACACGTGCACAGACCTGGGTGAACTGCGCAGCTACCTTGGCTTGCAGATCACCCGGGACAGAGCACGCCGCACCATTACCCTGACTCAGTCACACATGGTGCAGCAGGTCCTTCAGCGCTTCGGCTTCACGTACTCCTCGCCTCAGGCCACTCCTCTGCCTACTCGCCACTCGCTCTCAGCTCTGCCTTCGGATGAGTCCGTAGAGTCGAGTGGCCCGTACCCAGAGCTTGTTGGCTGCCTCATGTACCTGATGACCTGCACACGACCTGACCTTGCATACCCTCTTAGCATTCTCGCACGCTATGTTGCTCCTGGGAGACACAGACCGGAGCACATGGCTGCAGCAAAGAGGGTGTTGCGCTACTTGTGCAGTATGTTGGGCATGGGGCTTGTGCTTGGAGGGCAGAGTCCAGTGGTCCTCACTGGGCACGCAGACGCTTCTTGGGCTGATGACCAGGCTACGCAGCGGTCGTCACAGGGTTACACCTTCAGCCTTGGTTCCGGCTCTGTTTCGTGGCGGGCTACCCGCTCGTCTTCTGTTCTCGGCTCCAGTTGTGAGGATGTGATCTACGCCGGGGCCATGGCTGCACAGGAGCTTCGCTGGCTCACCTACCTGCTGACTGACCTCGGAGAGCCGCCTCGTTCTCCTCCAGTGCTGTACGTAGACAACAAGGCCATGCTGGCCTTGTGTCGAGAGCAGAGACTGGAGCACAGAACGAAGCACATTGCTCTCCGCTACTTCCTTGCTCGTGAGCTACAGCAGCGTGGTCAGCTGCGGCTTGCGTACGTGGCCTCTCAGGCCAACACTGCTGATATCTTCACCAAGGCACTTGCGCCTTGTGATCATCAGCGTTTCTGTACTCAGCTGGGCCTTGTGCCTACCTTGCCTCACTTGCTCACCCCTTGACCTTGTTTGTACTGTTGCATATATATATACACCTGCTCTTGCTTGTCTAGCCTTATATATATATGTAATCCTGCATGTGAACTGGCCTTGTGGCCTTGAACTTGTGCTCGGAATGTGTGGTGACTTTGTGATCCACCCTGAGCTTGCTTTGCTTTGCTTGACTGGTCTTGTGACCCCTTGTTCTCCCCCACTTTGCCTATGGGGGTGTGTCAGATTTATATGACAGAGCTACTGTAGGCTATAGTGGAGTAGCACATATGGGGTACAGTTTTCTAGGGTTTGCATTTGTACCCAACTTTCCCTTAGTCATTCTCATTCCTCGTTTCTTCTCATATTAGTCCAACCTCTGAGACAACGGGCCACAAGTTAAGCTGGTGCGCGTTGTAGCGGACAGCAAACGACCACAGAAAATGGGGGGCACTGGCATGGCACATGGAGGTACGAGCAATCTCCATGACCAAGCCAATGAAACGCTCAGCGACCCCATTCTGTTGCGACAAGGTACGTCTGGCGGATGCCTTCCGCATGACAGAATTGCTCAATTCGACCCCGGAGGCGAACTCGCCACCACGGTCAAAGTGCAGACGAAGCACAGACTGGGCGCGCTAGGCGCGGACGGCTACGAGCTACGGGAGGAGAGCGCCAGGCACGTCCGCCTTCCCCAGAAGGGAAACTCGCGGTGAAGCGGGAAAAATCGTCCACAACAACCAGGAAGTAGCGCTCCGCGCGCGGCTCGGGGGCGAAATCAGGGCCCCACACGTCCATGTGCAAGGTCTGAAGAGCCCAGTGGTACGAGGAAATGTGGAGGACATGGGTGTTTTTTTCCATTTTTCACTACTCGGATTTTCAGGGTTGTTTTTTTGGAAACTCTGAAAATCAGGGTTGATCCTTAGCGTTACTTTGATTTGTCAGAGGAAACTTCTGAAAAACAAGATTCGACGTTAACGTCGGAAGGGTTGCGTAGGCGTTATTATTTTAGTACAAAATGCACTACCGTATGTTATTTAACAAACGATAAACTATGCTATTTCTCAATATAGCGGGCTTCTTCGTTCCTCATTAAAAAACTAAGATTAACATGTTTTTTTCTTCCGATTGAGTTCTAGTCAGCAGGGAGCGATCTAGAGATTGATATTCTATTCGTTCTTATAATAGAAGTACATTCTGATTTTTTTTATATAACAGTACCCTTAGTGGGTTTGTTAAAAAGCTGCCAACTCTGATGTGTCAGATAGGTGGATGGAAGTGGTTATGCGTGTGTTGTCACGTGATTTTACTGTAGTTCCAGAATAGTGTGTTCGATTGTTTTTTGGGTTGTCATGCGCCATGTTCCAGTTTCAATTCGCCCTCGAATTAGCGTGAAATTCACCTCATCGTGTCCTACACCCTCCCTCCCGCTCACGTATTTAGCTTGCAACTCGCCCGCGAATTTAGCTCGCAATTCGCCACATCATCATAACACTGTACGCTTATTTTAAAATCGTTTCTTGCCTCGTTTTGCTCTGGGAGAAAAATTTCGTGCCAGCGCCACACACTCCCAACTACATTTTCTTGCCAGCGCCACAGATCCTTCCGCTGTCAACCTGAATTCCCCGCATTCTTGTTCCGTTTCCCTTCCCAGCTGTCGATTCGAACTCATACTCTTGGTTACTCGAATTCCTCCTCTACCTGCTCTCTCTGCCATTCTCTCAACCCAGCTATCGGGTTTTACTAACACCAAGCCGTCGCCTCTCCCTCTTATCCCGTAGTCGCCCCTCCCTCCTACCCCGCCATCGCCATTCCCTCCCATCCCGCCGCCACCTCTCACCCCGTCGTCGCCTCTCACTCCCACCTCCCTGTCGCCTCTCCCTCACTCCCCGCCATCGCCACTCCCTCCCATCCCGCCATCTCCACTACCTCCCATCCCGCTGCCGCCTCTTCTCCCATCTCGCCGCCGCCTCTCCCTTCTCCCCGCCGTCGCCTCTCCTTCCCTCCTCGCCGTCGCCTCTCCTTCCCTCCTCGCCGTCGCCTGTCCTTCCCTCCCCGCCGTCGCCTCTCCTTCCCTCCCCGCCGTCGCCTCTCCTTCCCTCCCCGCCGCCGCCTCTCCTTCCCTCCCCGCCGCCGCCTCTCCTTCCCTCCCCGCCGTCGCCTCTCCTTCCCTCCCCGCCGTCGCCTCTCCTTCCCTCCCCGCCGTCGCCTCTCCTTCCCTCCCCGCCGTCGCCTCTCCTTCCCTCCCCGCCGTCGCCTCTCCTTCCCTCCCCGCCGTCGCCTCTCCTTCCCTCCCCGCCGCCGCCTCTCCTTCCCTCCCCGCCGTCGCCTCTCCATCCCTCCCCGCCGTCGCCTCTCCTTCCCTCCCCGCCGTCGCCTGTCCTTCCCTCCCCGCCGTCGCCTGTCCTTCCCTCCCCGCCGTCGCCTCTCCTTCCCTCCCCGCCGCCGCCTCTCCTTCCCTCCCCGCCGTCGCCTCTCCTTCCCTCCCCGCCGTCGCCTCCGGCGACAAGTGCACGAGCGCAAGCGGAAGTTGGTTCGCGAACGCGGGTCAGTGCGCGAGCGCGAGTTGTTTTCTGAGGCACCGTCATTATCAGGTGCGTTCCCGGTCCTTTCATCCTCCCTTTCCCTTCTGAGATATCCCCCCTCCCCCCCCTCCCCCCCCCCCCTTTTTTTTTGCTCTCTGCGTACATTTTGTCTGTCGATTGGTCTCCTCTTGCATTGCAATTTCATTTGAAGAAGGGGAGAGACAGAGCGCGAGGGAGAGCGTGTGCGCGGGAGCGAACGCGCAGGAAAGTGCGCGTGAGAGTGCTCGTGAGAGTGCGTGTGAGAGTGCGCGTGAGAGTGCGCGTGAGAGTGCGCGTGAGGGTGCTCGTGAGAGTGCGCGTGAGAGTGCGCGTGAGAGTGCGCGTGAGAGTGCTCGTGAGAGTGCGCGTGAGAGAGCGCGTGAGAGTCCGCGTACGCGTGAGAGTGCTCGTGAGAGTGCGCGTGAGAGTGCGCGTGAGAGTGCGCGTGAGGGTGCTCGTGAGAGTGCGCGTGAGAGTGCGCGTGAGAGTGCGCGTGAGAGTGCTCGTGAGAGTGCGTGTGAGAGAGCGCGTGAGGGTGCGCGTGAGAGAGCGCGTGAGGGTGCGCGTGAGAGAGCGCGTGAGAGAGAGCGTGAGGGTGCGCTTGAGAGTGCGCGTGAGAGTGCATTGAGAGTGCGCGTGAGAGTGCGCGTGAGAGAGCGCGTGAGAGAGCGCGTGAGAGAGCGCGTGAGAGAGCGCGTGAGAGAGAGCTAGAGAGGGCACATGAGAGAGCGCGTGAGAGAGCGCGTGAGGGTGCGCATGAGAGAGGGTGTGAGAGAGAGCGTGGCGCGAGAGAGAGCGCGTGAGGGAGCGCGTGAGGGAGCGCGTGAGAGGACGCGTGAGAGTGCGCGTGAGAAAGCGCGTGAGAGGGCGCGTGAGAGAGCGCGTGAGCGCGAGAGAGAGCGTGTGCGCGGGAGCGAACGTGCAGGAAAGTGCGCGTGAGAGTGCTCGTGAGAGTGCGCGTGAGAGTGCGCGTGAGAGTGCTCGTGAGAGTGCGCGTGAGAGAGCGCGTGAGAGTCCGCGTGCGCGTGAGAGAGCGCGTGAGGGTGCGCTTGAGAGAGCGCGTGAGGGTGCGCGTGAGAGAGCGCGTGAGAGAGCGCGTGAGGGTGCGCTTGAGAGTGCGCGTGAGAGTGCATTGAGAGTGTGCGTGAGAGTGCGCGAGAGAGAGCGCGTGAGGGAGCGCGTGAGGGAGCGCGTGAGAGGACGCGTGAGAGTGCGCGTGAGAAAGAGCGTGAGAGAGCGCGTGAGAGTGCGCGTGAGAGTGCGCATGAGAGTGCGCGTGAGAGAGCGCGTGAGAGTCCGCGTGCGCGTGAGAGAGCGCGTGAGAGAGCGCGTGAGGGTGCGCGTGAGAGAGCGCGTGAGAGAGCGCGTGAGGGTGCGCTTGAGAGTGCGCGTGAGAGTGCATTGAGAGTGCGCGTGAGAGTGCGCGTGAGAGTGCGCGTGAGAGAGCGCGTGAGAGAGCGCGTGAGAGAGCGCGTGAGGGAGCGCGTGAGAGAGAGCATGAGAGGGCGCATGAGAGAGCGCGTGAGAGAGCGCGTGAGGGTGCGCGTGAGAGAGGGTGTGAGAGAGAGCGTGGCGCGAGAGAGAGCGCGTGAGGGAGCGCGTGAGGGAGCGCATGAGAGGACGCGTGAGAGTGCGCGTGAGAGAGCGCGTGAGAGAGCGCGTGAGAGAGCGCGTGAGAGGGCGCTTGTGTGAGCGCGTGAGAGAGCGCGTGAGCGCGAGAGAGAGCGAGTAAGGGAGCACGTGAGAGAGAGCATGAGAGGGCGCATGAGAGAGCGCGTGAAAGAGCGCGTGAGTGAGCCTCATGAGCACGCTGGGGCATATGCACTAGCATCTATTCTGCTGGTGCTTGGGCAACTGGGGCTACTCATGCAAACGGTTGTCGCTTTTTGCACTAGTGCTTAGGGTGCCGGCTTCTAAGGTGTTGGCTTCTCTGTTTTGCTGTGTGCAGGGCGTGTGTGTGTTGACGTCCCTGATTTTGGTGTGTGCAGGGCGTGTGTGTGTTGATGTCTCTGATTTTGCTGTGTGCAGGGCGTGTGTGTGTTGACGTCCCTGATTTTGCTGTGTGCAGGGCGTGTGTGTGTTGACGTCCCTGATTTTGCTGTGTGCAGGGCGTGTGTGTGTGTTGGCTTCTCTCTTTTGGCTTTGTGGAGGGCGTGCGTGTGTTGGCTTCTCTTTTGGCTTTGTGCAGGGCGTGTGTGTGTTGGCTTCTCTCTTTTGGCTTTGTGCAGGACGTGTGTGTGTTGGCTTCTCTTTTTTGGCTTTGAGCTCGTTTGCTCGTGTGTCACTGTGTGCAGGGAGTGAGAGCTGCATTTGCTGTTTTTTCCTTTCCTGTGCAGGAATTTCAAGCTGCAATCATTGTTTCTTGTGGAGAAAGAAAGGGGCTGGGGGGGGGGGGGGAAGGGGGGGAAGGGAGATCAGGGAGGGGGAAAGGGAGGGGGAAAGGGAGGGGAATGGGGGACAAGGTAACGATGGTTTATTAATTGGTGAACTTCATTGGCTATGCTTGCATGCTTAGTAGATGTATGTTTCTGCGTTATTTTTTGTTTTTTCTGTCTGCGTATGTGTGAGTGTGTATGTGAATGTGCGTACATGACTGTAGTGTTGTTTGTGTCTGCTTCGGGGTGAGTGCCAAGTGCCTCGTTTATGCAATTGGGGTTGTGATCGTTGGTGGGGCAGCTTTGCTTGCCTCTTCCATACCAGATCAATCGCAGTTGTATCCACGATGCATTTTAGCATTAGCTTCGAAGCATTCACAACTATTGTCCCTTGTCTTGTCTCTGTACAAGTTAGTGTGCTGTCGTTTGTGTCTGTTTTGGGGTGTGTGCTAAGTGCCTTGTGTATGCAACGTGGGTTGTGATCGTCGGTGGGGCAGTTTTGTCAAAACATATTGTTCTGTTCATTTCACTCTAGGTTGTGTAGGGTTCTTTCCTTAGAGGGTACAACATTTCACTCTCCCTCTCCCTTACCTAATCTACATTCTCACCTAGCTACTGATTCTAACATGGTATTAAAGCCCCAGGTCAGCATGGTTTTTGCAACAGTGACGCGAGGGCTTTAATCGTGTTCGCGAAAGGCATAAAAAAAACATATATGATAATTTTTGAAAGTGTAATGAAATGTAACACTTTCTAAATTTTTGTATTGTGAAAGGGGTACGTGGCCAACACAGCAAAGGTAGCGCCGAAGCGCTACTCACCCTCTTTTGCCTACAAAAGAGGGACGTGGGGACATTCGTCCCCACCCACGTTTTCATTTCTCAATTTGTAGTTCTAATTTCTCGTTCTCGTCACTCTGGCGAAGACACAATCCCTTCCGCGCTTCACAGCCCCGACAACACTCCTAAACGATATCCTTCAGCGCAACTTAGCTAATATGGCTCCGGCGAACTCGACGCTTAACCGCGACAACGCGACTACTTCAAGCCCCGGTAACGCGGGAGAAACTTCAATTCCCGCCGGGGGAAACGATCGCCGCGGCAAACGGAGCTCAGAAGAAATTTCCGCCGAGGGACCCTCGGCTGTCGAAGTTCTGCTCGGCGGCACCCCTCGCGCTGCGTCAGAAGACACACGCGCGGCTGCACAGCAGCCGCGCGTGGCTGCTGAAGAGCGCGTGCCCGGCAGGCAGGCACGCGCGCTGCAGAAGATGACGACGGCCGCTGACGCGGCCGCCGTCTTGACCGCGGCTGACGCGGGTCAACCCGGGCCCACGACCCAGAAACGCCAGCGCGCGGCACCCTCTGCTGACGTCGCGCAAGTCAACGCCCCCCCCCCCCCCTTTGACTGCCCAGCAGCTGCAGGCGCTTTTCTCGCTATTGCAGCAGCAGGCGCCCGGTACAATCGCTACATCGACAGACTATAATTCTGCGTCCGTAAGAACGGAAAAGCAGAAAGAAGCCGTTGCAACTCGCACCACCAAGGTCGCTCGCGCCACCACCGCCGCTCCTGCGCCCGCCCTGCCTACTGAACCAGTTCAAGCTCCTGCAATTGACGACAGCGACAACTCGGATAATGACGACGGTGAGGCCCCCGACAACCTTGCCCGCCGTCGCATTCTTGCACCCGCACCCCCCCTACCTCCCCTTAACCCGTCACCCGCAGCTACTACCTTCATGCGCAAAGGAGTGCGCGACCAGGCAGAGGTATTTTCTGCAATTCAAGCGCACCTGAGGCATGTCGAGTTCAAGCTCCGCAACGGCGACGTCGAGGGCGCGCTCTCCAACGTGGCGCAAGTCGAAACGCTCATCAACAAGCGTTTCGAGGTGCTCTTGGTGGCGGACGAGGCCGGGTTTGAGGCGGCGGATCGGTTCCAGCTCTACCAAGCGAAGAGCGTCCTCACGTCGCGCTCTTACAAGCTTGCGGTAGCCGACGTGGCGGCCCTCAAGCGTGCACGCACCGGCTTCGCCCGCGGAGGTCGCCTTCCCCCTCGAGATGGCGAACCGGAGAGCAAGGGCATGCCACCCGTGGGCTGCCACGAGCCCCGCTTCAAGGGCGTGTGCTTCCGTTGTGGCCAGCCCGGACACATGGCAAACAATTGCCCTATGGGAGGGCGTGGCACACAAGGCCCCGCACCCGTGGTGTGAGAGGACCCATGGGGCGGCGCCCCTTGCCACTATGCCGGGGGGCGTAGGTGGATGCACCGGTGGTGCGTAGGCTGGTTAGGAGCCTTAGAGGGTAGCTCAGGCCAAGAGGGCCAGGAACAAAGCATAGCCATAGGGGCTGGATAGGCCGTATGCCTAGGCTTGTATGCCTTTGTGTGGAATAATAAAAGTTGATTAATGATAAAAAAAAAAAAAAAAAAAAAAAGAAGAGGAGGGAACGAGGGCATGGCAAGTCAAAAGCAAGCCCATCCTCAAGGAAGGCAGCCATGAAGGAAGCTTGGCTAGGTGTAAATTACGAAATAAGGGCTGAGAAAAGCAAATCCAAAAAAAAAAAAAAAAAAAAAAACCAAGAGAGCGAGAGAGAGAGAGAGAGAAAGAGAGGGGGGGGGGGAGTGTGGGGTAGGAGCGAAGGGGGTCAAAGACGAACAACGCAGTCTGCCCCGCAAAGTGTCCCGCCATCTCCCGCGTCTAATCGACCTTGGTTCTTGTTCCTCCCTACAACCTCTGTTGCCCGCCATTTGCAGAAGGCGAGTGGCACGACGCTCACTGGGACCCATTCGAGCATGCAATAACGGACAACATGGTGTCCATCATGCGAAGGCGATTGCGCAACAGCCTCCACTGGTGGCTATCATGGTGTGACAGCAGTTTCATCCTTTCCATCATTGCTAAAGGGTACTGGCTACCATGGAAGGGTGCGGAGCCAACCCCCTTCGAAGCCCTCAATCACGCAGGGGTTCAAGCACACATGGCTTTCACCCAAGGAGCCGTCAGCGACCTCATCGCGTCAGGAGCCGCGGTACAGGTCTCGTCGAAAGCAACACTGACATGCATTAGCCCGCTCAATGTTGTCGAGCAAAGAGACAAATGCCGTCTCATTCTTGACCTGCGGAAGGTCAACGCTCACCTCCAAGTTCCCAAGTTCAAGTACGAGGGCTTGGGTCGGGTCGCGGAGATCATTCGCCCAAACGACTGGATGTTCACCATCGATCTGAAGTCAGGCTACCACCATGTCGAAATCCACTCATCCTGCTGGAGGTTTTTGGGCTTTCAACTGGATGGCAAGTTCTATTGCTTCACATCCTTACCTTTCGGCTTGGCAACAGCCCCGTTC